CATCAAAGATGAAAGTTAAGTCTAGCCAGTCAAACTTACTCAGCCTTACCTGTTTCAGACAATAAGCCCCATGAGCAGGTTTAGCCAGCCCCTTTTAAAGGGAAGAATGACATAGTGAAAGCTTTTATTTCTCTATCAGCTGGCAAGAGAACTTATACCCCTGGATGAAATCATGCTCCCACTAAAGTCAACAGCTTAACTCCCACTCACTTTAATGGGGTCAGGATTTCACCCACTGTCTGAACTAGCAAAAATGGACTTAGAGAATGGGGTCTTCCCTTAAGTGAAACAAGAAGGGATCTTCATGCCCCAAAAATGGAAGCCAAGACCTTCAGACTGTTTGCTGATTGGAAAGGTGTACATATGCTATCTTTCATTGCTATGTCTTAAGTGTCTCTGATGTACAAGAACAATAATAATATTTAGCTCACAAACAGCACTTATCTTCAAAATATGAAATCCACACAATAGATACTTAATGAGTTAGATATTAACCTTTGTATTAATTGGGAAACGTGGGCAGGTAAATTGTAAATTACTTGCACAAATCCAGAGGAAGTAAGCCGCAGAGCTGAGATTTCTGCCTCCCAGTCCTGTGCTCAGATCATGCCTCTCATGAAATAAAATGTCACATCTCTTTACTAAAGATTTCAAAAGTCTTGTCAATATATAGAAACGAATACAAATAAAAATAGAATTTCGGGCTAAATTCTGTCTTCAGATATCATGGGAGGCACTTGTGCATAGTTGAGGACAGAATATAGCCCTTAAGCGTAAGGAAATACCACATTGCACAGAAATTAGTGAATTAACGGGCAAAAGTACGTCATTCAGACTGAACAATATGGTGGACAATATTTAATAGCACAATGCTTTCAGTTCTTCTGTTCTTATTACTCCTGAATTTTAACTGCTTCTAGTTCTTTATATGAACTTTACCCAGCATTTCCTGTCTTGTTTCCCAAAATCTGCTGCTGTAACTAACTGCACTGCTAAGTATTACATTTAGTACCATAATTATTTGCAACAAGCTGTAAACAGATGGAAGCTCATATATAATGCCCCCTTGTACTATGAATCTAGAGCAGGGGTTCTCAAACTTCATTGCACCGTGACTCCCTTCTGACAACAAAAATTACTATATGACCCCAGAACGGGGGACCAAAGCTTGAGCCCACCCAAGCCCCACTGTCCCTGGCTTCTATTCGTGTGTGTACAACACCCAGTACAACAGGGCCTTGGAATGGAGCATCTAAGTGCTACTGCAATATAAATAAATAAAATCTAAGAATTATTATTAAATCATGTATAAATAAATACAAATCAGTTTTTAAACATTTGAACAAAAACTTTCATTTAGCAAGGTTCTTCTCTGGAAATGTATTCCAGACCCCCGATGAACTTGATTTTAGAATAAAAACTTTGCTACTCTGCTCTGTGTGTGTGTGTGGGGGGGAATGTAATTAATTATTTTGAACTTTAAAATTTTTTTTCATGTCATTATTTTGATATATTGAGAATATGTTCCATGTGCCTATTTTCATGTTATTCTTGCTTATTGTTTCTGTTTTCTATTGAGTGTTCTGCAAATATCCAAAAATGTATTATTAAAATACAGAAATATATTTAAACATTATTTAGCATGGTTAATTTCCTGTTATTATAGTAATGTATGCAGTTTGCATGTACTATTATACTGAGCTGATATTTTTCTGCCTAGTACAGCTTAACACCTGCTTGAATTATATACTAGTGGTGGAAAAACTGGCCATTTCTATTTGTAGTGCATTATTCAGTACACCAAAGAGATTATTTCTGGTAGCAATCATGATGCATTAATTTCAGAGCAGCATGCTTTTCAAGGATTTGTCTTGTTTTGTGTTGTCATTCCCCAGGGCACCCAGACTTCATGAAGTGTATAATGGTTCAAAGTAGCCACCATATGAATCTGTCCTAACTGGCCCCTTCTTTAATAGAGTTCTGATAAATTTTAAAAATAGGAAGTCAGAACTATAAACTTCAGAGATACCAAAAGTCAACCCATCAGTGCTAATCAAGATGGCAACTTATTTTGGAAGCACATATCTGGATTTAATCAAGTATTCTCTCTTCCTACAAATGCCTACTGAGAAAGATGTATACAACAACATGTTGACCTTCCATCACAAACACAAACAACTTCTTAAATGAAATAGTAGACAAATGTCAAAAATATATCACAGTTTTCAGGAGGAAAATAATCAATTGCATAATGAGATTTATGTAGCACAGTATTTTGACCAACATGATTAGAATATAGGCACTGTGCAATCAACTCAAGTTTACAACAAGCATTTATTACAAAGTTAGTGTGTGGTTTTAATACTCTCATATAGGCATAGTTATCTAAAAATGAGAAGACAGTATGAATATTTAATAACAACTCAGTAAGAATGTGAAATATCATAGGATAACGACTGTGCAAAAATCATTTCCAGAAGCCCACCATGGCATATATAAAAGGCCATGATTTAAGAGTTCCGTCCTGTAGGTGTCAAAGGTCAAAACAATGAGCTATTAAAGATATTTTCACTTCCTCTGAAATAAAGTGCTGTCTTGGGCCAAAAGGTGAGAGGTTAGAAAAACTGTGTGACTGCTGGTCTATTCCCATTCTTCCTCCTGGCAGAAAATCATACATGCTCCTACACACCATTTAGGGTTAACCTAGGGTCATGACCATCGACTAAGTACCCAGATAAAGGAATTCATTATTTATTTATTCAAAAGACTGCAAGACCACAGGTTAAATTTTTGTCAAACACAAATTTTACTCTAAAGTTCAGCTAAGCATTAATAGTGCAATAAAACAAATAATCCTCATTCCATTGCCACTAAAGGAAGAGTAAAGCTGTGGCCATAATTACGTTTGATTAAGGAGACAACTTTAAAAAAAATTATGATTATGTACATGGCTGTTAGGTCAAGACGACAACTGATTTTTCTTAATAGGTATAAGACTGAAATTGGGAATTTCATCTTATCCTTCATGATGTGGTTCAGACCAAATCCTGTAACTCCAATATTGAAGTTTTTTAAAATGAACTATAAAAAAGCATAAATTATTAATTTGTAGTGAGGTTCACTATTATTCATGTGCATGTTCACAAGTCTAAAAATTGTCCTGCTATGCTTACAGAATTTTGGGGGACACATAGTAGAATAATATACCTAAATGTTTTGTAAATACCACCAAATGTCAAAATACAGGGGAAAAGAGGTTCTCTTCCTGTTTTGAAACAACAATTTCTCAATATAAAGTCTTCAGTAGACATGGTTGAATTTTATTTTTAATTAACAAAAAACAAAATCAAAATTTCAAAGTTGCTTGAATTTCACAGGATTCAAAGGCCCATTTTGGTTTTACACAACTTTTTGATCACCGTTTTTAATAAAGTCAGGGTTGTTGTTGTTGTTTTTTTACTGAAAATATTATAATTTTTTCATTAAGTATTCCGTAAGCAAAAATATCAAGCATTTTGATGTTTTTGATAATTGTTTTAAAACATCACACAAAAATGAAAATGTCAATAGATTGAGAATTTTTTAGCTTTGAAAAGGAAAAGGCTATTTTTCAATTGAAAATTTGTTCTTTGAAAAATTTCAACCCGTTTTACCCCCAGTTTAGCTGGGTCTGGAATTACACACATATAGTTACGCAGCACCACAGAACCAGGAACAAACCAGATGCCCTGTGTGTTGAACTATGGCTATGTCTCTACAGTCATGAGACTGAAATTATAAAGTTGTATTATGACAAAATGCTGTATCATAAATGCCTATATGTACATGGACCCATCTCTGCTGACAAGACCCTTAGCACATACACCCCAGACAAATACAATGGGAACAAAAGGTTAATGATGGTACTTAACCCTGACAAAAGGTTATGCTAAAAAGTAGCTCAAGCCTTGAAAATCCACTTTAGCTGAAGGGAAGGGGAAAGGCAGGAACAATGGAAAGTTACCCAGAAGACAGAAGAAAGCCACACAGGAACAGGGGAACCAGATAGGAAGAAGTGTGGGGCAGGAGAAAGCAAGTTCACAGACATGGGTAAGGGGCTCCAGAAGGAGAGGTCAACAAGCAAGTAGCCGCCTCGTGGGGCAGGGGGGCCCCACACATTTTCCTGAGCCCAAATGGCCTCAAAGACTCTGGACCACCCAACAGACTCAGACACAGCTCAAAGAGTGCCCTGGAGTGGTGAGGAAACTGAGGTAAGGACATATATATAGTGTTTATTGTTTTGTATGAACTGTACTCTCCTTACGTGATTAAGGACAAAAGAGCACTAATGTGTTAAACTCTACGAAGTGTATGTGTGTATATGCATCACAACTACTAAATGCACCTGAAAAAGTTAAACTGTAAACCAGAAGTTTCATATCTTTGGGCTGGAGTTCTGGGAAAGAGGTGTGCACTGTGACTAGAGGTGCTAGGAGACTGGAGAGCAGGTTCCAACACTGGAAGAGGGTGCCAGATAGTAGGTCTGCACACCAAGACTGTGATTGGGGCAGTGGTTAGATGCTGTTCAGGCTCCAGAAGCTTAAAACTCCCCAGGGGATCCAGAGCACAGAGGCTTGGATTCCTTTCACAGCAGTCCAACTGGGTGAGTGGAAAGGGGTTCTCACTTGGACCTGACACCCTTCATATCTGGAAGCTTAACATTGAACATGTCGGCAAAGGTAGTACCTTTGTGTTTCTCAGCAGTGATTTCTCTAGACAATCATGGATCGAATAAATAAATTTGTTAGTCTCTAAGGTGCCACAAGTACTCCTTTTCTTTTTATGGATGGAATGTTATTCACGTATTCTAAAGGGAATCCTCCTTTTCTCTAAGTACAGTCACTACATGATAATTATAGCCTTAAGAATGAGAGGTAGAACATTTTCAATATTCTTACAGAAAAGATTAGATTGTACCCACAAGGAACATACTGTAATCAAAAGACTAAAGATATTCTTACCAAATTAATCAGCTGCGTATGAATGATATCTTCCACTAATACTGCTGTTTCATGAAGGGGCCTCCGGACATCCCCTAAGGAAAACCTGAAAGAAAATTGTTTCACATAAGGCTACCAAACTGGAAGAAAAACAAAAACAAAAACCTCACATGAAACCAAGCAAAAAGAAAAAAAATCACCCATATTTAAACTTCTAGTGAATTGAAGATGAATTGTTTAGTGTGGTACAAGGAAGTATACATAAAAATAATTGGATTAAATTAAGAAAGAGCACTGGGGATGAATATCAGAAAAACAGATCCTAACACAGTGAGATGTATTCAAGAGTGGAATGGCCACTGAAGAGCAGATATGAAAGTCCAACTACTAGGAACAAAACTAGAGTAGCCCAAGTTGTAGTAAATATACTGTAGAGATCAATCCTGTGTTAGAGAGGGGATTCATTTAATAGGCTTAATGACCTTTAATTTCTAGGAAGCAGCTACAGCCACATCATAGTATGGTATTTAACAGTAAGGATATCATTTTCCCTTCTGTTTACAAATTGACATAGGGCCTTTTCAGTTTTCACTCATCAAAATATTTACACTAAATGTTTATGTTAATGTCTTCTTTTTCCAAAGCTAAATGCTAAGCAACACATGCTTTCAGAAGGAATTGTTATGGATTAAAATAAAGGAATTTTTAGGAATTATTACAGATGCGTTGTCAAGTGAATTTTCTTTTATGACCTTTATAATTCAGCCCTACAGTGCCCTGTACATAGCCCTGTCTCAAAATGCACAGTATTGACAAGAACAGGAATAGTTACAGAAGCAGTTGTGGTGGTAGGTTTGAAAAAAAAAAAAGACACACAAGAAGGAAATCAAAGATTCAGGTGAAATACCAGTAAAACCAAAGAGAAATCTTCACAGCACAAGGATATTTGTTGTCAGCCTAACTTTGATTCAACAGAACTTCTTGGTAAAGGAAGTGAATTGTTCACAGCACTCACGTGATTAAACTGGTTCAAAGGAAGACTCTCAATGTATTGGAAGAACTGAAGTAAGGTGCAGCCCCTATCCTATCTCTAATGTGATCTGGCATAAAAGAAGAGTATCCAACTACTAGGACCAGGCCAAATCTCTCTCTGAATCAGGTATCTGTAATAAATGGCAGGTCGGGGCCAAACATTATGGATCTCCTCAGTCTAATACCAAATTATTCTTACTCTTAACAGCATCATCTGCAAATCACAGGCTAGACCACCAGCAGCCTTCTTAATCCCAAAAAAACGGGGGAGATCAGAGAACATGTGGAATAAAAGGGGGAAAATGGATCATTAGGCTAGCCAATTTCTACCCTATTATGTAAGTCAGATAGGATCCTATTTATTTTAAAAAGGTGACCAACATCTCTTCTGTTCTCCCAATACCCTGAGGTTGGAAGTCCAAGCCACACTCAGGTAAAACTGAAGTATCCAGGATTCTGACTGTGGGACTCTGCTTACCATCTCACGCTTACACTAACACTGTGACAAAACTTCCCATACAAAACAGCAGCTTCACTGCATTGCTGCATGATACACACAACTTAGAAGCAAATTTTTAACACATCAGCCACATTACACGCTGAAATGTGCAACTATAAAATAAGTAGCAATACTCAGCCCTTGCCTACTTTACATATATAGGTTTCAGAGTAGCAGCCATGTTAGTCTGTATTCGCAAAAGAAAAGGAGTACTTGCGAGTACTCACGAAAGCTTATGCTCAAATAAATTGGTTAGTCTCTAAGGTGCCACAAGTACTCCTTTTCTTTATACATAGGTTTAAGAGCTGAAGAGTGAGAAGGAACTTAAAGAACTTTTCCCTCACCTCAATTCCTTCTTCCAGATAAAATAAGACATGGAAATTTCTTCCCTGGCATAAAGTGCAGTACCATAGCCTACTACTACCTGGCAACAGATACTCTGAATCTACAACAAAGCTTTATTCGTATCTCTTGCTTCAAACTAAACGGAGTAGCTGTAACATCTGACAAGCACACTCCAATCATCCAAAATAATCATGAGAACTTGTAAAGAACAATGATTTTAGCACCAGGATTCTCAGGAAAACACAGAAGTCATGGGCACTCATTATTCTTCAAGTCTTGTTGGTTATCTCAGCATCTGCTTTTGGCTCCCTCTCTATCCAATCTTTGATTAGATTATTTTAAATCTTTTCATCCCAATATTCTTCCAACAGAGTGGTTATTGCTTGGATCAGTCAAAACTTCATAATACCAAATGTATGTCAAAACGAAAGAAGCCATTTCAATAATATATCATTGCAGACATGAAGGAAGACTTAGAACATTTTCTAATCTCCCTTTACATTGTTTCTTATGGACCAAATTCTGCCTTCCTTAGTCACACTGAGTTTCTACAACAGGGCTATCTGAGGAATAAGATACTATTCACTGTGAGAAGAGTCAAAGTGGTAGAAGAGGAAGTCACTCATCTTGCGCAGTAACGAAGGTTCTTCGAGATGTGTGTCCCTATGTGTGCTCCACTGTAGGTGTATGTGGATCCCTGTGCTTCTGATTGCTATCAAGATCTCCTGTGTCCATTTAACCCTCCCATGCCCTATCCCCTCCTCATGCTCTGCCTCGAGGCTAATTAGCATTGCGTGGGCGAACCACCCTTAGTTCCTTCTCTACCGCAGAGTCCCTATCAAAAACTCCAATGTAGAGGGAAGTAGGGCAGGTTGTGGAGCACCCACAGAGGGGCACGTCTCAAAGAACCATCATTACTGCACAAGGTGAGTAACTTCCTCTTCTTCTTTCAATAGCGCCCCTATGGGTGCTCCACTATAGGAAACTCCCAAGCAGTATCCCTAAGGAGAGGTTGGGGCTTCAGAGTTGAGTCTGTTCTGGATGATAACACTGCATCTATCACAATGAAATTAGGAGGAGGGTGTGAAAAAAGAAATTCCTCATTCCTGGGAGATACATAATATTTTTTTATCGACCCATTTGCGTGGCGGTGTGGCAAATTCTGGCATTTGCCATATAAACTTAGCTGGATCCAAAAGTGCCTTGTTAATGGGGAGGGCTATCCTGGAGGAGGAGTAGAAGAATATCCAGAAGCTTATGGTGAGTGTCTTTTAACCTCCTCAAGAGATACTTGTAAGGTATCTGCCACCCTTAGTCAGGTCAGACTTTAAAATAGTCTGCCATAGACAGTGGAGGGGGCATTTCTGTCTTATCTGGAGAGAAAGAAGAGATGTTAGTAATTGGTGTAACCCTCTCCTCTAGTCTGACCTCCTGGCTCCTCCAAGATCTCCTTAGGAGGTTCTTAGGCTCTAGAGATGGTGGCTGAGGGGGAATGCCTCGCAGTCTCCTGGTGGGTCACACTAGATGCCCAGGAGGCATCGTGCCTACAGGCTGCCCATGGATCACAACAGGACCAGTGGCTGGTGGAAAAAAGATGGGTGGTTGATCCCATGATTGGTCATATCACAGGGGTTGTCCAGACCAAGGGTATGACTGGGCAGTCCTAGGTTGATAGCAGGAGTAAGCATGATAAGAGCATTGGGAGAGGACCCCCTCCTGGTCACTATCTGACTCTCCACTGGAAAATGGTGGAGCCAATACAGAGCGGAGGTGCAAGGTTTGGTGCCGGTGGTGATTCTTGGGCTTAAGATGTGTCTGGTACTGGGGCTCCGGTACCGATTAGAAGAGGCTCTGGTACCTCAGATGCCATGAGGTCGTTAGAGAATCTAAATTCCTGTGGTGCCACAGTAGTCGGTACCATCAGTGATTGCCAATATTGTGTCGGTGGCACCGAGGGAGTCGGAGATCTTGGCTTCACATAATGGTCCGATGATGGCTGCTCACAGTCGTTGGTGCTGAGAACATCTGTACTGACGCCATCTGCCTTGAGGTGATATGGTCACTTCTGTCCCTCACTAGCAGTACTGCTGCTTCGGTGCCTGTGCCCATAGGGTCTTTAAGTATACCAGCAGGATCTGTCGCACCAGACCCACGCAATCTGTGGGTACCATACTTAGACACCTTCAGTGCCATAGCTAATGAAGAGACTGAATGTGCCAGAAATTTCCTCTGGCTGGTTCAGGGCTGACAGCTCTCTTTTTGGTCTTACGTGAAGAATCCGAGGATTTTTTTTTCTTGGTTCACCAGCCTTAGAGTAGAAGGCTGCAGAGAAGACTGATGTCACCTGGGAGACTCTGGGCACGGGTCAGTCACAGGCTGAAGAGCTCCTACCTTGAGGAGCAGCTTTACTTTCAATTCCCATTTTTTCCAGGATCTGGTTTTCAGCTGCTGACAGAAGGTACACTTCTGTGGAACGTGGCCCTCCCCGAGGGAATGACATAGCGGGAAAGACCATCTCTTAGTAGAAAGGACTCCTTACAGGAGAGGCACCTCAAACCCAGGAGAACCCAGCATGCCCCTTACTGGGGACAATCCCGAGTCCAGGGGAGGGAAAAGGGGGCAGGGGTAAAGCAAAAACTTTTAAGGCTTTTTTTATTTTTTTAAAAACAGGGGAAGAGAAAAAACTAATGGAAACTCTATGAGATTAAGAAGAAAAACATTAAAACAAGCTAAGAACAAATTTCTAAAGAAGTAAAGTATCCGTGAATGGACTGCTAATTGTTCCATCTATAGCCGGGGAGGTTGAGCACCCATAGGGACTCTATTTGAAGATTATGGCCCCAAATAAATAAGATGTTATATTGTAGTTTCATAATGGCAGACGTGTCTGCACCTTAATGCACGAAAATACTCTTTACCTATAACCTTGACTCAAGTATCTTATTGACAACTGAATATACTGGATTGATGCTTCCTAACAAATACATTTTCTTTATTCTAACAAAACGATTTCCAAGACTACTTCAGGGCAACTTAATTTCCTTTGCTACGGAATTACAACAGCAAAGTAGATACATAATAAGATCTTTTTCTTTTCTTCTACAAAAATGGGCCTAACCATTTCTGCACACCTACTGAAATTCTAATGGTTTAAAATATACATTCGTAGCTTGAACAACAAAGAAGAACACATTCAAACAGTGTCCAACAGATCTCTCTTTCCTATCCGATTTTTTAAATTTACTCCATACCTTTTGCCTTTCTTGTTTATTTAGACTGTAAGCTCTTTGGGGCAGGGACTCTCTCTTACTTCAGCTACAGTACGAGCTAGGGGTGCAATTCCCCGGCTCATGTAAAGTAACATGTATAGTCATGTGCTCACATCTAGTGGTTTCAGAAGGGAACATACTCAACATGGCTAATCCATACCTCTGTCTCCTCCACCCATCCTACTGCAGCTACATTGCTATTTATACTCATGCTAGCTCAATGTGAACTAGCGAGAGTATGTGTACAAAGCAAGGGAAATCACATCCCTATCTCACAGTGGTGATGTAGCTTGTGTGTTCATACAGTTCCTATTAGAAGTCCAGCTGACAGAGTAAATGGCTATAAAATGTTAAATTATAATTTCAGATACCTTATTATGATGTTTTGGAGTACAGTACAGCAGTCAAATTATGGCCCTATCAAATATATTTTTAAATGTAAATATTTGGATAGTGTGTACAGTGTATATAAAAATAGATCACTCAAGTTCATATTGCTCTGTGACATGACATACAGTAAGTAATTCACAAACCTAAATCTATTTGCTTATACATATTAGGATTCATAAATTTATCAGTAATTCTATTAATGTTTTTATTAAAATGATTAAATACAGTATGTAATGAAAGCACAAATTCTTTGCAAATATCCAAATCATTTACATATGCCCTAACTAGCCTATGCTGTATCTAAACTAAAAGGATTCAGCACAGTCATGACCAGAACACACTGACAATCATTATATACTGATATTTTAAAATTTAAAATTATTTGCCTTTGTTCCTAAGGCTTTAAAAGACACAAAACCAAATTTGGAACAGTGCAAATAAATGGCTGGCTACTAACTTATTAAAAATTTGGATGCAGCAAACCATGGTCTATATTATATAAATATATTAATAAATGGACAGTTTTTCTGAAAACAAAAAAAGAGGGCAAAAATCTGCTCTCTGATTAGGGCATTGGCTCTCCACTGAGATACTGTGCTATCCTGAAAGCACAGATCTCCCATTGATGTAACTGACAGCTCCACACATATGCAAAGTAAAGAAATAGCAGAGACAAGTTCCAATACACAGATCTGAGAGGTGAATTTTGCCCCAAATCTTTTTTGCTCTGTTCAGATTTGCAAGAGGATATATCAAATTTAATTGCTAAAATTCCATATTTGACCATTAACTAGAGATATCTAAAAGATTCACCACTATACATACACACACACTCTTGCTCTCTCTTTGAATGTTTGAAAGTTATTTGGATCTCAGTTTCTCTTCAGTTTTTCCCACGTTACTGTTGCCAACTTTTTTCCCCACACACAGAAAGCTAGATATTGGCACGGTGGTTTCTGCAAAAAGAAGTAAAAACCACCACATGTACCCACAGCCGCTTCCTCTTTCTCTGAAATGTACAGTGGATTTTCAAGCTACTGAAAAACAAAAACAAAAAAACCCCATGAAACCTGAATAATTGCTCATGATATTTTATAGTTTGTCCTTTACCCTATTATCCTCTTGATTCCGTTTAATTAATAATAATCTTTTCTATGTCAAACAGGAATGTCTCTGACCCTTCCTATTTCCTGGGATAATGTTATGCTTCTGACATGAAACTGACAAATACATGAACATTGAGAAGTTAAGGCTTTGATTCCTTGCTTCATTTATGCTGTTATATTTGAACAAGCAGTAAACTAAAACCTGGAGTGGGGGGAGGAAGGGTTCACCAAACTAAGGGCTAGCTGGTGGCTAGAGGAGAGACAGAACAAAAATAACTCAGTGTCGTTGCTTCTGGGGTTGAAATCAGACTTTGTTTAATATCACTTTGTGTGTTTCATTTCCTATGGGCTATTGTTGTTTTTTTTAAATGGTGCAGTAGACAGCACTTAAAAGAACACTCTCCCTGGTTAAAGAATGAACCATTTTCCCTGTGCCCCAAACCAAAATTTGTACAAAAATACAGTGCGGATTTGTAAGTGAACTCCAAAGAAAGAATAAACTAGATAGACAGACACACACAGTCAGTGTACCAAATGGTAAAATGCCATAGAACAGTGGTTTTCAAACTGTGGAAGGCACTGGGTCACGGTGGCTCCGGTCAGCACCACTGACCATGCCGTTAAAATTCCCGTCGGCGCTGCTGCCCGGCTAAGGCAGGCTAATCCCTACCTGTTCTGACACCGCGCTGCACCCCGGAAGCGGCCAGCAGCAGGTCCAGCTCCTAAGCGGGGGGGCCATGGGGCTCCACGCGCTGCCCCCGCCCCGAACACTGGCTCTGCACTCCCATTGGCTGGAAATTGGGGGGGGGGCGGTGCCTGCAGGTGAGAGCTGCATAGGAGCCGGACCTGCCGCTGGCTGCTTCCGGGTCACAGCACGATCTGAGGTGCCAGGACAGGCAGGAAGCCTGCCTCTGCACCCCTGCTGCACTGCAGACTGAGAGCCGCCCGAGGTAAGCCTGTGTCTCAACCCCGTGCCCCAATCCCCTGATCCTGCCCCAAACCCGGAGCTCCCTCCTGCACCTCAAACTCCTCATCCCTGGCCCTACCCCAGAGCCTGCACCCCCACCCCGAGCCCTGACCCCCTCCCACACCCCAAACCCATCACAGCCCTAAGCCCCCCCAAACCCAGAGCCCCCTCCTGCACCCCAAACCCCTCATCCCTAGCCCCACCGCAGAGCCTGCACCCCCAGCCCAGACCCCCTCCTGAACCCCAAGCCCCAGCCCAGAGCCCCCTCACACAACTGAACCCCTCATTCCTGGCCCCACCCCACAGCTCTCACCCCTGTACCCCAACCCTCTGCCCTAGCCCTGAGCCCCCCCGTCCCCACACACACACCCCACATCCCCAGCTCCGTTGGGACACGGGCATCAACAATTTTCTTCAACTGGGTCTCCAGAATAAAAGTTTGAAAACCACTGCCATAGAACACTTACCCGATAAAAGAAAAGATTTGTTAAATAAAACACATTTACTGTCCACCTAACCATTATACATTCCATACAAGAAAACCTTCTTAGATAACTTCATTTCAAGGAGCTTTTTTAAAAACTGTAAGTTTGGGTGCAACAAGATTATCAGTTCAAAAGGTTTTCACTGGAGGATAAAAATAATTATGGTGTGCGGAAAGACTGCAGCAGCTGTTTATTTACTTTCAGCTTTGCTTCCATTTGCTTTCCATTCTATCTCTGCTCATGTCATGATACCTCCAGGTATATCAAATGGTGTCAATGTCCCACCAACCCACTGCATCCATGAACTATCATGGCACATTAATGCTGACAATACATTCTAAGTAAAGAGTCCATGCCATGGGGACATAAAAGTCAACTTCAGGAGGAAAGACCTGGACATCTATAGACATGGATAAAGAAAGAATATTTTCTGGTATGCTCGATTGGTTTATGGACCAATATCTCACAGGAGTCCCCAAACCTCACCTTCTCTTTATGTATTTATTCCATTATATTTATTTTCTGTCTACTTGTGGAGTGGCCTGTGGGCATCTGACCTTCACAGATAAGTTTATATACAGCCACCAGGGCATAAAAATAGGCAAAAATCCATGGGAAACCACAGAAGTGCTTTTAGTAATAGAGCTACCCAACATGTAGATTCTGAAGCCATCTAAAACATGAGGAACCCGTGGAATGGGAGGGATGAGGTGTATGTAGCCATGCAAAGTCATCTGCAGCAGCTTCAACACCAGGAAAAAACGGTTACTTACCTGTATAGTAACTATTGTTCATTGAGATATGTATTCCACTCAGGCATGCATGCGGTCAGCGCATCAAAATCAGATAACTTTGCTTAGCAGTAACCATCGGGGAGTTGCTCACGCCGTTTTGCCCTGTAGCCCCTCTGATGGCTAGAAAACAGCAGTGCTACCCTGAACCCCATCAGTTCCTTCACACTGGAATCCAAGGCTGTTCCAATACAGAGGAGACAAAGGATGGGTCATGGAATAATCCCGGCTCCCACATGTCAAAGAACAATACTTAAAGTACAGGTAAGTAACTGTTTTTTTTTTCTTCGAGTGGTTGGAGATATGTATTCAACTCAGGTCACACACAAGCAGTACCTGAAGGAAGTGGGGCTTGAAGTCTACCTAAAGAATGATTGCAAAACTGCCTTCCCAAAGTTTGTATCTATCTGATCTAGATGCAGTCATAGCAGCATAATGCTTGGTAAATACGCACTGAAGACCAGGTAGCTGCTCAGGAAATGTCTAATATAGCAACATCATTGAGGAATGTGACCGAAGCGGCTGAACGAACCACCAGTTTTTGTAGAGGTGTAGACTGAGCTAATCCATATGCTGCTGTAATACAGGAAGTAATACACCTGGAGATCATCTGTGCGGAAACCACCTGACTCTTCACTTGATACACACAAAAGACAAAGAGTTGAGCTGACTGACAAAACAATTCAGTCCTCTCCAAGTAGAATGCCAAACGTCATCTCACCTCCAATGTATGAAGGCACGGTTCCTCTGTATTCAGATGTAGTATAGGAAAGAATACACACAAATAGATAGTTTGGTTAAGGTGCAATTATGAAACTATTTTAGACAAAAATTTTGGATCCAGCCTTAGGGCCATCTTAGGCATGACAAATTGCATATATGGAGATCCTGCCATGAGAGCCTGCAACACACTCACCCACCTTGCATAAATTATGGCTACAAGAAAAGCTGTCTTTCAGCAAAGAAGTACAGAGAGCAGGTTGCCAAGGGCTCAAGAGAGGACCCAGGTTGCTGTTTCTTTAAAAGGAGGGAAGAGATGGACATTCCCTTTTAAAAATCTATCCACTAGAGAGTTAGAAAAAAACTGAGTTCCCTTGAAACTGTGGCTGAAATGTTGATATCACCACTAAGCAGACCTTCAAAGAGTTGAGAGAGAGACCTGAGGACTCAAAATGCAACAGATAATCCAAAATGTCCTGAATGCGTACTGGCTTCAGCTGGATTCCCCGAGCTAGAGACCAAACAGAAAAATACTTCCGCTTGACATAATATGTATTACTAACCGATTCTGAACACCAGGTAAGTGTACCACTGTAGGGGCTAATGTCCTTCTTGAAGCAAAGATGCCAAAAATTTATTGGTTTCAGAGTAACAGCCGTGTTAGTCTGTATTCGCAAAAAGAAAAGGAGTACTTGTGGTTAGTCTCTAAGGTGCCACAAGTACTCCTTTTCTTTTTGCAAAAATTTATTGCTTCCTGGCAAAGTTGGTTGGAATGAGGTCACCCTGCTTGTTCACATAAAACACTATGTTGGCACTGCCGGTAAGTATGTGAACGACTGTACCCCTGATCTGAGATCAAAAGGCCTTGCATGCATCGTAAATGGCTTGAAGCTCTAGACCATTGATTCGGAGTGAAGCTTCCTGTTCTGACTACAGACCCTGAAACTTCAGTGACTTTAGAGGCATACCCCAGCTTTTGTGGATGTTTCATTACCTAGAGTCTTGGCTGGAGAAGGATATTGCTGGTGTTGTTGCTGACTTCCATAATGATGTATTTGTGGCCTGGGTATAAACCCCCAATGACTGCAGAATAGAATAAGAGCCCTTAAAATAATGCAATGTCTCATCAGTTTTCTCCGAAAATAAAAACCAACCATGAAAAGGTAAGTTCTCTGTGCTCTGTTGGACCTCAGGAGATATGCTGGAGTTCTGTAACCATGAGGGCCTTCTGAGAATGATGACCTGAGGCCATAGGTGTGGATGAAGCATCTGCCATATCCACTGCTGACTGCAAAGACGTCTTTGCCACCAAATGACCTTCTGCAATGAATGCCTTAAACTCTTCCCTAGAGGATTCTGGTAATTTATCCATAAACTTGCACAGCATCCCAATTCACAAGGTCACACTTAGATAACAGAGCCTGCTGGTTTGCAATGCATATTTGTAACGAAGAGGTTGAATACCTCTCCCCATCAAGTCTAAACTCTTAGACTCTGTCTTTATGTGTGGATTTATATCTCCCCTGCCATAATCTCGTTTGCTGCCATCACAATAAGCGAATTAGAAGGTGGATATGAGACAAAATACTCAAAACCTTCTACAGGGACATAATACCTATTATCAGTAGGCCTTGCCATGGGCATTAAAGATGTTTGGGTTTTCCACAGAGATATGGCAGTCTCTAATATCACTTCATTACAGGAAGAGAAATTCGGCCAGGAGATGAGGACTGAAGAACATCCACTCAACAAACTCAGCCTGAACACCCAAGGTCAACACCATTCATTTCAGGAGATCTTAATATGATTTAAAATCCTCAGGCACTGGACATGAAGAACCCAGCACCGTAACATCAAGTGGGACCAACAGAATCTCCTATGGCAACACATGTGACTGTAACAAGGGGTCAGGTTGCACCGACTCAGAGGGAGCCACCTCAGTCTGTGGATGCAGCACAGCTGCTCAGGAGGGGAGACTGCCAAGGGAATGGGTGACCTCTCCTTGGATGGAGCAGAAGACCAGGGACTCACCAAATGAAGACCCTGCCAGGGATCTCAAGGAGGCCACTGTTGATAGGAGTATGGCTTTGTGACCAGTAGGATCCGGGCCATAAACCTTTATCCCTATTGCAAAAGCAGTACTGATCCCGGTACTGACGGTGATTCCCCAAGAGGTCTTGACGAAGTTTGAGAGTCGTACTGCAAACGTGAAGAAGAGGGAGATGTCTCCGAACTCAATTCTGAAGACCCTTCCAGGTAGTCTGACAGTAATGGAGGAACCACTCCAGGTGTAGCAAGTAAACACCCTGCGTCAGTCATAGCCCAACACACAGGTCTCATCGGTACAGATGATTGTACAGCAGTCAGCACTTTTAGTACCAGTACAGGCACTGAACTCACTCTAGGTACCAAAGCAGGCACCAGTACCGAGGACGAAATTGGTACCAGACCCACCAATGTAGATTCTATCGCACGATAGTATCTGCACTGGCAAATCCCTCAATGCTGAGCAGGAAGTCTATTGCAAGCCTGCCCCCTGGGTATGAGTCAATTTGGACGATGGTACCAACAACAATCAATTAACTAACCAATCTCTAAGGTGCCACAAGTACTCCTTTTCTTTTTGCGAATACAGACTAACATGGCTGTTACTCTGTAATCTGGTTGTGTAGCTCCAGCCCTTAGTGGCTCAGGTGCTCTCTGGGGGGCCAATCTGTGGTGGTCCCTAGTGCCCAAGCGGGCCTCATGGCCTGCTTCATATGGTGCTGCTTCAAGCTCAAGTCTCTGGCCACCTGCTTTCTCTTCTTGAATGACTTGCAGATGGAGCAACTTTCCTTAATGTGTCCTTCCCCAAGGCACAGTAAACCGCACTGACTCAAGTGGTGGATGGTAAGAAGGAACCTCATAGATTCTAAGACCAGAAGGTATCATTGTGAGCATCTAGTCTAGCATAGGTCACAGAACTTTTCCCAAATAATCCCTAGAAAATATCTTTTCAAAAAAATTCCAAACTTGATGTAAACGTTGTCAGTGATGGAGAATCCAAATTGTGGGCACCAGAACTGAAGAGAGTATTCCAGCAGAAGTCGAACCAGAGCCAAATAGCAAGGTAAAATAACCTCTCTACTCCTTTTTAAGACTCCCCTAATCCCAGGATGATGTTAGTTCTTTGGCCACAGCGTCACACTGGGAGCTCATATTCAGCTGATTATCCACCACATCCCCCAGATCTTTTTCTGGGACACTGCTTCCCAGGATAGAGTCCCCAGTCCTGTGAGTTTGGCCTACATTCTTTGTTCCTAGATGTATACATTTATATATAGTAGTATTAAAACACATATTGTTTGTTTACTCCCAATTTGGCCTGTTAAATTGTGTCAGTAGGCCTGTTAAATTGTGTCAGTGTCAAGAAAGGAAGGGGGTCATGTAGTAGTAAAAATTTATGTTTGTATTTTATATACAGTAATTTAAATAAAAAATAATAATGTAGCATGTATTAAATGTATTGGTGTATAATTTGACCATATTCTGCCAGCCACCCTTTCTGAAAGCAGAAAGGAATGGCCTAAAAGCAAAGTAAAATATGTTGCTGTGGCTAAACACCACCTCCTAGCTGCTATATAAACAACAAATAAAATTAAAAAATAAAACTGCCTTGGCCATAAAATGTACTAAAATGCAAATTCTTAGTTTAGCATCACTTAAACAGAAAATGTTTTAAATAATATCTAAAAATGTTAGGGTATTAACACATTTTAAAACAACAAATATAAATAAATGCAATATGTTTCCAGCATAGTTAAGCCTAATTTATTATTAAATAACATTATTATTAAAATTGCTCACCAACAATCTATAAAAACAAAAATATAAAAAGTGAGCCTGATCCCAAAATTAACCATGAAATCCTTTTGGCTATCCCGGGTTATAAAGCCCTCAAAAATAGATATGCTTGTCCCTACCTGTCACCACAAAACCATGTAGCAGAAATACCTCATTAAAAACATATGTATAAAACAAACAAAAAAATATAACGTGTGTTTTGTACAACAATGTGTATGTATTACATCCTAAAAACAATATTTTTTAAAAAATGCAAGTATCAGCCAACCCCCAATAAATAAATGTAAATGTAATGCCAGTGAATTGTATACTAACAATCTCACATACTATTTACCAAAAATAAAAAAAGCACAAAGCATTATAACCGCTACCCCAGTTAATTTCTCTGTTACCCTTGGCCTAAATTAGCACAATCTAACTAATCACTTATTATCAAAAACCAAAGTAACTCAGTTTTTACAACAAACACAGAAAAATACAAAAATACATGTCATTCAAATATTGCATGCAAATAAAAACAACCTATCATTAGTACAACGTTTTTACAGGCTGGTCCCCAACTTCTAAGGACATATTATCTATCACGTTCCACCCATTGCTAGTTGTGTTAATACTGTCCTGTGTTTGCCTGCTAAAAAAACAAAAAATGTTTGTTATATTACAACCACAAGCTCAAATTGCCTCTCAATATATTGCTATAAAACAGTTGTATTAAAATATGACCCACTCAAGAATTGTTCTTGAGGGGTCAAAAAACAACACGTAGTAGTAAAATTTTATGTTTGTATTTTATATAATTTCAATAAAAAATAAAAAAAATATGTAGCATGTATTAAACATATTAGTGTATAATTTAACCATATCCTGCCAGCCACCCTTTCTAAAAGCAAAAAGGAATGGCCTAATGGGCCACTGGTAAAAATGCATCAGCTAAAATCTGTGTCTAAGCTAATTTCAAGGCAGTAACAGACCTTTTAGGGTCACCACTTTGTTGTAGGTTTAGCATTTTAAAATAAGTAAAAAAATGCAATAATTATTTTTCTCTTGCATTGCAATTTAATGTTCCTGTTCAAATGTTCTGTGTAAATCAATTCTATTTTGTGCATAAATTAAAAATATGTATGTTAAAAAATAAATATGAAAACCATCACCAAATGCTCTAAAAAAACGAAAAGAAAAACAAAACAAAACCAAGGACTGACACAAAAGCACCAAAAAATTACAGCACACTCCTATTAAAATATCAAAAAAGGGCAAATTAACAACTCTAAAAATAAAACAGGCACCTATCAATAAAAACAAAATTGCTGTAATCAAAACCAGCATAAAGTAACTCCCTAAAAAACTTAATAAAAACAGTTTCAAAAAACAAGCACTCATCGAACAGCAATTAATTACAGCAAGGTACCTCACCAAAGGCTCTTAAGCAAAGTAAGCAGTCATTGGATAAGAGGGAATGTTCTCTTATGGATTGGTTAAAAGATAGGAAACAAAGGTAGGAATAAATGGTCAGTTTTCAGAATGGAGAGAGGTAAATAGTGGTGCTCCCCAGACGTCTGTATTGGGACCAGTCCTATTCAACATATTCATAAATGATCTGGAAAAAGGGTTCAGAGTAGCAGCAGTGTTAGTCTGTATCTGCAAAAAGAACAGGAGTACTTGTGGCATCTTAGAGACTAAAACTTATTTGAGCATAAGCTTTTGTGGGCTTGTAGTCTGTTCTTGAAGCTTTTCTCTTGCAAAATTGCCACCTTTAAGTCAGAGAGGTTGAAGTGTTCTCCTACTGGTTTTTGAATGTTATGTAAACAGTGAGGTGCCATGCATCTGACGAAGTGGGTATTCACCCACGAAAGCTTATGCTGTAATACATCTGTTAGTCTATAAGGTGCCACAGGACTCTTTGCCGCTTTTACAGATCCAGACTAACACGGTTACCCCTCTGATACTTGACACACAGGAAAAGAGATGCTGTATTGGGCAATCTATGCACCATCAATAGAAGAGGAGAGAGACAGAACAAAGAATAAATAAAGGACAAAGTACCAACAAGATGAAGCACGTGGATTTAGAGGAAGAGAATGGTTGAGAGAGATGGAAGGAGAATAATTGATCTGACCAATGAACTGGGTAAGGAAAAGGCACACAACTTTTAGGTTAGGGAATTTTATTTATTTATGCACCCACATATAACTGTATTTTCCAGGCAGACATCACACTGTCTCATAAAGAGGAAATGGATATATCAAGAGTGTTGTTGCTGTAGGCATTCATAGTATGATTGTTGGATGTTTTACTCAGTAAAGGGGGAATGCATTTCAAAATACATGCTGGCTTTCTGAATTTTCAATTCTTTACTTTGAGACAAAGGGACAGTTTCAATATACTCACTCTCTCTCTGTTAGCTTTAAGTTATGGTAACAAACCTGCATATTCCACCAATGTCAACTAGAAAAAAGCAAGGAATATCCGATGAACACTTGTTAAGTAGATATCAACACTTTACTTATCAGGTCATTTCCACCACTCACAGGGTATGTATCTTCCCCTTCATCCTGAACACCCAACCTGCTCCGTGAATCTTGGTTATATATTCATGTGTTCTGTTGATCAATATAGGGTTGACATGGCTTTCAAAAGTTACAGGGTACTTTACATGGAGATGGTGAAAGTAAGTGAGGCACAGTGTCAGATTACAAGGGGTGGCTGTGAGGTACATTTTTCTGTAATGTTTAAGAAATGTGCATGATCCATGTTAAAAGTAACTGTTCAAAATCTGTAGTGATTTTAATGTAGGAGTTACAGAGTTGAAAACTGCTCTGATATAATTGTACACTATAGATATAGTTGGAGACAAAACCATATGCTAGTTGTTCAGACTATGCAGTCTAGCAGCATTAATTCAAAGTTAAAGTTTTGTGAGGGAATTTCCCGGAGTTTTATTAAGTATATATCAATGGTTATATTTATTCATATGGATAGGCACCAATGTTAATGTAGGTTTTCCCTTATATGCCACTCTTCAGAGCCCCATCTCCCTTGACACCCCAAAAACCCCTATATCCACAGCGGATCCCAATAGAGAGCTGCACTTAATATTCTCCCCAGCCTCTATAGACCTATCCCTGCCCATGTTTTCCTTATATATCTCTGCTTCCCACAACATTTTCCACCCCTCAAGTTCTCCCTGAATACCACCCTCCCTATTTCCCTACTACATTCATTTTTAATTGTCAGTATGTATCAAATGCAGAGTATCAACATTTATATAGCAACATTACCAAAGTTAGTCAATACTTAATCATAGAATCATAGAATATCAGGGTTGGAAGGGACCCCAGAAGGTCATCTAGTCCAACCCCCTGCTCGAAGCAGGACCAAATCCCAGTTAAATCATCAATACTTACTGAAGTATTAACAGAAAACTGTCCTGTGAAACACTATTGTGACAAATTTGGGCCTCAATCATATGCTTTGAATCTGCACAGAGTCCCACTGAAGACGAGGATGTGGAAATAAAATTCAAAAAAGTGTGAAACAAAGCAATTTTAATCTTGCTTTAAGTGCAAATCTTGGTTCAGCTATACCTATAAAGCTGCTATCAATATGTCCATAACATATACTACGCGTATATAAATATTTTACACACACACACACGCAACAATTATAGCAAAGCTGGTGTTCCATTTTAAGCCCATTTTCATTTGTTTATAGCTTGCTAAACTTCAACTTTTCCGGTTAAAATTTTCCATGCCTCTGACTGAATATTTTTTGGAACTTTTCAGGAAAAACAGTTTGGCTATTTCCAAGAATGATTTTGGGGGAAAATAAGTGGTTTTGCCAATATTAAAAAAAAAAAATAATGTTCCAATAATTTCTTTCCAGAGCTCTAGTGTCTGCAAAACTTGGAGAAGCGAACTGGGATTTGGCAAGAGGGTATTCCTTGGGGTCAGTGAGGTGTTCTTTCGCTGTCCTCATGAAAATCCACCCAGATTTGGCTGTGTTATAAGACTGAAAACCGCCAGGTGTACATTCTCACCTTTTGAAAGCTTGTTGCTACAATCTCTGAACATTCTGCCTACACTGAACATACTTGAGCCCCCAGACCTTCTTCAATACCACACTGAATATGCTACAGCCCCGAAGAGCTCCGTGATAGATCAGCCACACTAGGATCCTAGGCACAGAGTTAGCGCTCCAAACAGGGGAACGATGCAGCACAGTTACAGCAGCTGCCACCACCTCTTGGTTAGACGAAGGCAGGGTTATTATAAAGAAAGTGACAGGTGTGAGCTCAGTTCCCCTTCTCCTCCTTGGCTTTTGACAGATGTGGTGAAAGTGTCTCTCCATCCTGTTTGAATCTACTTTTAGCATTGAGGGAATGTGTGCTACATGCCAGGAAGAGTCCATGAGTTCTGATCTGAGCTCTTCCACTGACAACCATTTTGTGTAATTCACAGCCCTTACTACTAAGGTCTCATGCCCCTATACTGGGAGGCAGGATACTATAATTCCTCCCACATTTACAGATGGGATAACTCAAGACTTTGCACTAGGTGAGTTATGGTTGAACTGGGTATAGAACTCAGGAGCCAAATTCTGTGTAGCAACAGAAGGTGCAGAACAGAAACCTCCCAGATTCTGGAAGCTGAGCTAATAGTCAATGTAAGTTAGAGCAGCGCAGAGGCAGCTTGTAGATTTCTACATATTCCACTCTCTCATACACCCCCTCCTTACTCTACGCTGGGGACTTTGAGGAGAAACATTGTAGTGTCTTGCATACCGGACTCAACAGTGCCTGTTCCGGGGCCGGAATCAACAGCTCTGGATGAGTTGCCAGGGTCTCAGAGTGGCCTGGTGTGGGTCACACTCTGCTAGTGTCTCTTTGCCCCATGGACCTCAGAGATGCAGATCACCCTATCTGTCGTCTTCTGCTTCTTTTTCAGCACCTGTGATGAAGAGCAGTGCCGAGAGGCACTTGCTGGAGTGATCTTCTTCAGCATCTGGGATGACAGACAGTGCCAGGAGTCCTGAGAAGCAGAAGCAGCATCCTTTTTTGGCACAGACGATGTGGAATGGCACTGAGCCTCCATAATAGAAGCCAGGGTGCTTCTTATTGAGGCTGAAATACTTGGTGCCTAGGCGGAGTGACTCAGCTCTGACGGAGGGCAAAGTGCTGCCTTAATGAGGAGGAACCTAAACCTGGTGTCCCTGTTTTTTGGTGGGGGCCTGAAGTCCCTGCAGATTTTGCAGCAGTCCCAAACATGAGCTTTCCCCAGGCATTTAAGGCAAACAAATCCATTTCTTTTGTATCTTTTCATTTGGGATTGCTGTCCCTGCTATTCCCTTTCACTAGCAGCTGACACAATCAGAGCTCCTAGGGAGGAATGGGAGTAGAGAAACTCAAATCCCTGTCTGTGAACAGAGTATTTATGTTCAGCCCTTCCTGCAGAAGGAGGAAGGGATGAAGTAGTCTGCCATAAGAACTTAGTATGCTCTAAAATTGCCTCATTGATAGGTAAGGCCACCAGCTATGGCCCGGTGGTAGCTAAAATAACTACTTAAGGACACAGGCAGGAACATTTCATGAAGGACCCGGAAACTAGGATGAAACCCCACAGGTTCCAAAGGGACCACAGGACAGGTGGAGGACACCAATGATCTCCTAGCCACATACCTCATCCCATTCCACAAGAATCTCAAATCAACCCTGGGTACAACTGACTAGCCAGGGAGAATCATGACTGCCTCCATGGCCAGGAAACATAGAAGCCAACCTCTGATTCAAAATCATCCTCTGCAGGCCTGGGGGGGGCCTCTCCTAATGGAGAGAGGTCTAGATGCTGCCTGAGCAGAGGAGTGCTTGGACGTTGCACTCTACTCTTATCCACATGCTTAACAGATTTAGGGGCCGATGAGCTTCCTCTCTCAACGGTTTGACTAGAGGTCCTGTGTCTCTTCGTAGGCATCAGAGGGGGGGAGGCATCAGAGAGGAAGGAGGTGCCAGGTCTCAGGTAAAATAGGAGGCACACTCCTAACAAGCCAAAGCCCTAGGTGCCAAGCCAGAGCAGCTAGGCTCTGAAAGTAGTCTCAATCAGCAGAAACTTCAGCTTGGCTTCTCTATCTTTTTTAGTCCTCTGAAGTCTTTGCAAATCTGGCAGCTATCTCAAATATGTGATTCCTCCAAACACTTCAAGCAGCTTGACCAAGGGTCACTCACAGGCATCAGCATTGAACAACTAAAGCAGGGCTTAAAGCCCAGTGATAGAGACATTCCTCTGTACTGAGAAATGGAACCCCAAACCAGGGAACTGAAAAAAAACCCTGATTCTGTTTATCAACACTTACCTAATAATGAACTATAAAAACTAGAAAAGGAGTACTTGTGGCATCTTAGAGACTAACAAATTTATCTGCGCATAAGCTTCATGAGCTACAGCTCACCTCATCAGATGCATGCACTAGGCAACTGTTTATAAGAATTTACAAGTAAAACATTGAAAGCACTTGCTAAGGCAAACCTAGCAATTCCAGTTATCACAGTTGGTTAAGAAGGATGGAAGGCGGATTGGAAGCGGCTCTGCCCTTTATATTGACAAACAGTGCTGCGCAGAAACAGAGGGCATAGAATCAGAGTTGGAAGGGACCTCAGGAGGTCATCTAGTCCAACCCCCTGCTCAAAGCAGGACCAATCCCCAACTAAATCATCCCAGCCAGGGCTTTGTCAAGCCTGACCTTAAAAACCTCTAAGGAAGGAGATTCCACCACCTCCCTAGGTAACCCATTCAGTGCTTCACCACTCTCCTAGTGAAAAAGTTTTTCCTAATATCAACCTAAACCTCCCCTACTGCAACTTGAGACTATTACTCCTTGTTCTGTCATCTGCCACCACTGAGAACAGTCTAGATCCATCCTCTTTGGAACCCCCTTTCAGGTAGCTGAAAGCACCTATCAAATCCCCCCTCATTCTTCTCTTCTGCAGACTAAATAAGCCCAGTTCCCTCAGCCTCTCCTCATAAGTCTTGTGTTCCAGACCCCTAATAATTTTTGCTGCCCTCCAGTGGACTCTTTCCAAATTTTCCACATCCTTCTTGTAGTGTGGGGCCCAAAACTGGACACAGTACTCCAGA